GGAATTGTTTGACTACCAATATAAATGAACGAATTATTTTAATTTTTCCTATTCTTTCTTTTTTTTTCATAAAAAATAAAATCTACTATTCTTTTTAACATATTTTTTTAAAAGTGTATAATATATCATTACATGAGTGCCCAACCTCTCGATACAGAACCCTAAGTCACCGCTGCTTGCTACAGTACCCCTTTCGAAAATTCTTCGATCTTGGTCCGGTGGCCGGCGTCGGTACCGGACCCTTCCTTTTTGCTGTTTTGATTTCTCATTTGGTTTGTATTAGCTTATTAGACGGTTTCTATGGCTAGATGTGGATTCATGAGATCTACAAAGTTTTTGGTGATTTCGATTTGGTTGGGGATTGGCTTTGTGTGAGGAGTCGTTGTTGCGGGGTTTGGTCGAGAACGGCTCTGGTTAGATCTGTGTTAGCCGGTTTGGCTGGGTTCGTGATCTCGGTTTGCGGTTGGTCTCGCTTCGGTCTTCTTGCTATGGGATGGGAGGTGAGCCGTGTGTATTTGTTGAAGTCTGGCTTGTGTGGTTCAGATTTTCTCTCCTTGGTCCTCTGGTTTGTTTGGTGGTGGTTTGATGGTGTTGTGAGCATTGGGTTTCTTATGCTTTGGCTCATCGGATTAGTTGATTCATCTCTAGCTTTGGATTTGATCTCATTGACTCTTTTACTTTCTAGTTGTGGAGATTGTAGTATTGTGTTATGTACGACTTGTGTGAGTTAGGGTTCTTTTGGTCGAAGAGATGTGCTAGTTTTTAACCCAGGCGATTGTAGTGGTCTATGCGTTTGTTTGGTTGCAAAGTTTGGTTTGGACTCGGTGGTCATTTTATTATTGTCTTGGCGTCGCTGTCGTCTCTGCTTCCCGGTGTCTATGGTAAGGCTACTTGATCGTTGGTTCTTTGCTGTGTTGTCATTTTCCCCTGTGTTCTTGTCCGCCTTCTCTGTTTGCTGCTTAAGGTATACTTCTAGAGCCGCGTTTTGGTCGTCCATGTTTCTTCTGGGTGTGCCTCAAGGTTTAGGTTCTGTTCATTGCTTATGTTTGTTGGCTCAGAGTTGGCTACTTCTTGATCTTTGGCTTTGATTGTGGGTGTGCTATTGGCTCTATGGTTTGAGCTTGGGGGGATGACAATGTTTTCCTCTTTAATCAAATCCTCTTTCTTCT